GCCCCCGTTCTTTCTTATTTAAAAAATAAAAGTGGTTGGTTTGTCTGGTGTTTGGAAACTACCTCAGGAGGTCAACCAGGAACCCAGCTGGTGGATCAGCTCTACCATCTTCCCCAAGTGTTTTCCCTCTCAGGGATTAAAACTAGCAGAGCTGAATCCTGGATGCAGTTTTGCAGTGGAGAACTAATAGAAGGTTTCCTTTAAGCAAATGAGGCAGATCACTTCTGTTCACAACCATCACTAAGAGCTTAGTCATTTGACCATACCTAACCTAGGGCAGCTGTAAAATGCCATTTCTGGATGTCTAGATGGATTGCCATTCATCCATATGAAATATTACTCAGAGATAGAGAATATTACAATAAGTGAATAACTCATAGAAGACAAATGAAATTTATCAATGATATCTTCCACTCGGAAAATATTAATAGTTGATATCCAAGAGCTAAGGATGTTAGACCACATTCGGTGCTCCAGAAACCAATCTTAACTCCACAATGCTTTTCTACAAGCCTTACTTTCTTTGAGGTGCAAATATATTCTTTCAAAATTGTACACAGGCATAAAGATTCACACTGATACACATCCTGTGCCTGAAATATTTTTCATCATTACTTCAAATTCTAACTTGGGAGTTTGAAAACAGAGTTCAACACTACATAGTAGTAACCATCTGATTATTGAAGGACCTTGGTAGCATCTAAGCAGAAATCATTGTTAAAGGTCACGATCACGATCACGACCATCCTGTTGTTCGTCGATTGCCTCGAGCAGGCCCCAGTAACATCTCCTTCATCCTAGCCCTGAGATTTTTTTAAAAGTACCATATTCAAGGCTCTTTCAGGGTTAGGAGAATGAGACCCATCATTGTTACTGGTATTTGGCATATTGGGTACGCCACGGGGAGTTTGCCAGACTCTGCCGTGTGAGCAGGTTACATTCAGTAGCCTACAGGTTGTCCAAAGTAAGAAAGAAAGGACCTTGGTAGCGTCTAAGCAGAAATCATTGTTAAAGAAAAAAGGGATAATACTATGAACACACAAAGAAAAGGGTTGAGGTTGCTGACAATGCACAAAATAGTGGGGGCTGTTTGCCAAATAGAATCATGAGTAGTGGGCTCTGTAAAGAGGTAACCTAGTGGATTTGCTTCATGACAACACAGAAGAGATTGTTGGTGCAGTAGGAATAGCTGAACAAGGCTAGGATTGAGATAACAATTGATAAGAAGAGACTCCAGAGAAAGAACAAGTCAGGGAGAATACCAGAAAATAGAATATGAACTCTGAGGCTACTGAAATACAAAAATTTCATTATCATGCTGAAAATAGAACAAACAGAAGGTTGCTGGGTCACAGTGAACATCACTAGATGCCAAAAGATAACTGGTATTTAAAATGAAAATGATGGCCATCTTGGATCTTCTAAAGAGTGTAAAGAGTGAAGCCAGGAAAAGTAGAATGAGATTTCTATTACTAAAACCTATGAAGAGGAAATTTTGGTTTATGTGTTTGGATCTATCAGGGAATGGACTGTCAAGCTTCAACAAAAGGATGACATTGAAATAAATGCTGGGGAGGATGAAAGGTCTCCAGTCAGACAGGAGTGTGTGTAAAGAAATATTTTTGACATGAACCTTCCTGTCATTAAAAAATAATGTTTCCTTAAAAAAATAGAGTGGAGTAAGAGAATGCAGGTTTCCTAAAAGTCAATGCATGTAAGAAATCCAAAGACTCACTCGTGTGTTAGGACATTAGCCACTGGTCTAAGGTTAATTACTATCTCAGAATGAATGGGATCCACTCACAATCACTGTCACTGTCCTCCCATTTTTCATCAATTTGCTCGAGTGGGCCCAGTAACATCTCCATTATGAGACTTCTTGTTACTGTGTTTGGCATATTGAATACGACACAGGTAGCTTGCCGGGCTTTGCCGTGCAGGCGAGATACTCTCAGTAGCTTGCTGGGCTCTCTGAGAGGGGCGGAGGAATTAACTCGGGTTGGCTAGTTGTGTAGGCCGTGTGCAAGGTAAATGCCCGACCCGCTGTGCTATCGGTCCAGCCCCCATTCACAATATTTACATCAAAATAGATAGCTGACTTAAATTTTTCTTGGGTAAACTCTTGCCTTGCCTTGTTATTGATAGTTTGATCTATGAAGTCCTAAGGGTAGTGAGACTATCCTAGGAACCAGGAGAAACAGAACCACAAGTTTCATAGTTCAAGACTTTGTGTACTTTCCATTTAAAGATTCCATGAGGCATAATTACAGATTTTTTGGAAACAACTGTTTGAAAGGTGCTGACTTTGGAAACAAATTTAAAAATAACAACTATTGGGCTAGAGATATAGTACAGTGGGGAGGGCACTTGCTTGCATTAATGAATGAAGCCAACCCCAGCAGCACTACATATAGCGCATGGTGCACAAAGCCCGGAGTAATTCCTGAGCACCACCATGTCACCAGGTCTGGTCCCCAAACCAAAACAAAATAATTGCCATATAAACCTGTACACCAAACAAGGGAAGTATTCTTCCTCAATAAAAATCAAGTTTCGGGCTGGAGAGATAGCACAGCGGGTAGGGCGTTTGCCTTGCACGCGGCTAACCCGGGTTCGATTCCCAGCATCCCATGTGGTCCCCTGAGCACCGCCAGGAGTAACTCCTGAGTGCAGAGCCAGGAGTAACCCCTGTGCATCGCCAGGTGTGACCCAAAAAGCAAAAAAAAAAAAAAAAATCAAGTTTCAGTGTTTCAGTGATTCAATAAAAAAGTTTAAAAAAATTAAAAAATAAAAATAAAAATCAGGTTTAAGGGTAATAAATGACAAAGTTTTATGTGGGGGGAGGTTGGGGGACCACATCCCTGCAGTGCTCAGGGCTTACTCATGACTCTGTGCTCAGGAATCATTCCTAGCAGGCCTCAAGAGACCATATGGGATGCCAGGAACCTGGTTTGGCTGCATGCAAGGCAAATGCCCTACCTGCTCTACTATCACTCGGGCCCCCAAAGTTCTATTTCATTTATTTCTCTTTATTTGGAGTGAGTCAGGATATCCTGTCCTGTTTTCCACACAAAGTTCAATTTGTTCCTTAGTTTATACCCTGACCCTCATTTGGGATGATCTATTCCAAATTTAATTTGTACAGATAATGTAAAAATAAAATTTCATAACTCAGTTCTGTTTTCTATCATCAGTGAAAATAGATGATTCACCAAATTAAATTTTCACAAATGTAAAAGGATATAGTAAACATTATATGGAAATAACATCTAGCCAAGTTGAAGTATAGGTTTCTTTATCCATTATTCTACTTTCCAAATTCTAGTCTTTTTCAACAAACTCAGTGAGGAATGTGTTTGAACATAAAACAAACTGAATCCTAAAATACTATCATGACCAAATATGATGATTCGTATAGTGAGTCCCATATATTTATGGAACATGTTAATCCAAGTGGTAAAATTGCACACAGTGTTCAACTGTAAGTCCCAACAGAGTAAACACCTACAAAATGAAGATGTTTTTGGAAACAGTCAGTGAGTTGGAATGGTCAAATTTATTCAGTTAAACACATTTCATAAGTTGTTCATTTGCAACGTTGAATCCATTTACAATTCTTGGTGCATTTCTCCAAGGTCTGACTACATTGGCATCACCTGTCTTAGCACCTAAGCACCTTGCCTAACCCCATGAGAATCAGAGAACCCCATTCTCTAATTGCTGAATCAATACACTGAAATCCCATGAGTCCATTTCTGATTACAGTTCCTTTTGCTCACCAGATTCTCCTTCATGCTCTAAAACCGCACTGATTCACAACAGTTTACTTTTGGTACTACCTTAAAATACATGCAAACTGAATTTTTCTGTATGTAAAATGAAAATGCACATACTGTTAGTGCTATTTTACCAATGTAGGAGTCTTCACCCACTGTAGGCTGTGGGCTATGTAGAAATGTGCTGGTAATAAAAACTGATGACAACTGTGACAAAAATAAGGATATATATAATATTAAAATAAATCAAATGATATACAATAGTGTCATTATTCTGATACAGAATTTTTACACAGAAATATTGATACAGGTACAGAGGGCAGGATGTCAGGCAATCCATTACATGAACCTTCTGGTTACAAAGAAAAGTTTAAATTACAACTTAATATGGAATAAAAAATGGTAATGAATAACATCAGATTAAAGTCAATACTTCTTCAAGTGACATTTTCTGAAATATCTCTATGAGGCTTAAAAAAGTAACTCTATAAACAGAAATACAAAATTACACTGGAAAACAAATCTTTTTCAAGAAACAAAAAAACACCAGTCTCAAAATCTAGAGGAAGTTAACTTTCCATTCCTTTTGCCTTTGCAGTGGCCAAACAACAGACTTGAAGAACAGAGGTTCAGTGAAATCTTAGAAGGCACACCAGAACCCCATCCATCCAACAGGAGAAGTTTGGAGTGTTTGTCTACATTCTATTCACTGATTAAGTATCAGACAAAGAGCCTGATTGTCTTCGGTGATACTGCCAGCAAAAGGGGTCAGACCCTTTAATATGCTAGAGGGGCAGAAAGGGAAAGAGAGAGTAAAGTGAGGACCGTTCTAGGAGAAGCATGTGACCAAAGGGACTATGTGGAGTTGATGTGTGTGTGTGTGTGTGTGTGTGTGTGTGTGTGTGTGAGACAGAGAGAGAGAGAGAGAGAGAGAGAGAGAGAGAAAGGGTAGGGGAGAGAGGGAGAGTGTAAAATATCTTGAGATTAAGGAAGAAATCTTTAGTAACAAAGTATCAAATTCTTTCCTAATTTTCCTTAAAGTGGATATAGTGGCATAAAGCCAAACCAAACCAAAACAAGAGAAAATGGGAACCACTTCCATAATGACTTACACTTTATCTTTTTTTTATCCAAAATTATAATCCTCTCAATTAAAAAAAAGCATTTAAAAAAATCAAAGACATGCTACTTGGCACATGGAAGAAGCAACATGTCTTTCTGGTTTCTTATGTGTGGAGCACAATCACAAGGAAATAAATTTTACAGACACCGTGTGGCTGTTCACATTGAAAGCTTCTACTCCAAAGTGACTATTTTCGGCCTAAACAACTAAATCGGTTAAATGAGGTTCGTAAACAGGACAGGCCGGGCATACACGGACAAGTGTGATGCATTCTCCTCCCGAAAAACGGAACCTAGGGAGAAAAGGAAAGCCAGGTCAAAGCAGGAACCCTTGACACAAACAACGTTTGAGTAATGTCTTCTAGGTTTTGAGAGTTACCTACATGTCAGACACCAGCCTGGGAACTTTCAGACACATTTCTTTGACCATACTTAAACATCACCCCATGGAGACAAGCATGCATTTTCCTTGTACCCATTTCATTGGAGACACACTGAGTACAGAGTGATTAGGAACCCTTCTGAGATTATACACCTGGCAGCTTGAAGCTTGGCTGCTATTCAGAGTCCAGAAACCAAGATTTAATTTTTAAATTTTTTTGTGTGTGTGTGGGAGGGCACATCCTGTGATGCCCAGGGATTACTCTTGGCTCTGCACTCAGGAATTACTCCTGGTTGTGCTCGGGGAGACCAGATGGGATGCTGGGATGGAACCCGGGTCAGCCATATACAAGGCAAGTGCCCACACAATGTACTATCTCTCTAGCCCAAAGACTGATGAAGACTGTAGCCAGGGTATTAATAATTTGAATACTTTTATTCAGTCCCATTATTAAGATTCCTTAGGAAAAAGTGACCACACTGGCATAGTGACCAAGAGAAAGTCGCAGACAATGAGCAATGTAGAAAGGCACACCTTTGCGCGCGCGCGTGCGCACGCGCGCGCACACACACACACACACACACACACAAACACACACATCAGAAGCAGTTCAAGATCCTGAGAAGGGAGGGAAGAACAAGCAGGAAATTAGGAAAGGAAACAGCTCAGCTGGCAAAATGGAGCAAACTGAACCCTGGGCCAAAGACAGCCAGTGTGAAAGGTCGGCTTCATGTAGAGATCCTTCCCCTGCTATTTCTTCTTTCTGTAAGTTTTTTGTTGTTGTTCTGTTAGGGGGCCACACCTGGTGGTACTCAGAGCTTAGTCCTGACTCTGTGCTCAGGGAATCACTCATGGTGGCACTCAGGGGATCATTTGTGGTGCTGGGGATCAAATCATGGCTGGTGTGTGTAAGATAAGTATGAACCCCTGCATTAACTCCTGGCCCTCACCTCCTATTTCTAACAGCCTTACCCAGGCCCCAATAAGCGGAGTTGAGAATTGTCAACCAAGAACCAGAGCAGAAGTTCCCTGAGCAGGGCCAAAGGTAGGTCACACATCCCACGTTTATTTCCCAAAGGCAAAGGGCAAATCTCATTCTTCCTCTCTCATGGATGGTCCCCTCTAGAGAAGCTATCGGCTTTGTCAAGGGTTTAAAGAGTTTAACTCAGGCCTGCCACAGTTGTGGTTAACCCAAAGGACGGGCAAACCCCTTTACCCTAAGGTGGTTCAGGATAACATTTTCCCTATTTTCTGGCCCAGTTGCCTTTGCTCCTTAGATGCATGAATTTTCAAGTATGCACCTCCAAGAATTTCCCTCCTGGCTTCCCCAAAGATCTGTCTTTACAAGAAAAATTTCCAGATGCCCCATCTAAGTGATTCCTTTCTACATTAAAAAGAAATAACGTCTCTCCTGTGAGGGGCCATCTGCAGGCAGTGGTAGAACCATTCTAACCATTTTAGGGGTAGGGGGCGCAATATGTGTTAACCCAACTCTGCTGGGTAGTTTAACAATGTTAAAGGCCTATTCACTATTCTAGCTGTTTCTCCAGATTGTCTCATGCTCATGTTCTTTTAACCTCCTTTTGCTTTTTTTCAGTTTTTTTTTGGGGGGGTGGGCACATCCAGCTATGCTCAGGGGCTACTTCTGGCTCTGAGCTCAAAAATTACTCTTGGCAGTGCACAAGAGACCATATGGGATGCTGGTAGGGATCAAATGCCCTACCCACTGTACAATTGCTCTGGCGCATCCTCTTGCTCTTTTTCTTATTCTTCCTTTTTCTACTCTCCACCCTTCCGTTTGCAATTTCATTCTGGAAGGGCCAAGGATATAATCACAATCAATAAGTACATGGGGTAGGGGCCAGAACAAGGGTACTCAGATTTAGAGGTGTTTGGGCCAGAACAAGGGTACTCAGATTTAGAGGTGTCGGGATTGGGCTTCCGGCTGGTGTCATGGCTTCCCTGGGCACCCCCTGGGCCATCTTCCAGCTCTTTCTTGCTGTGGATTCCTGCCAACCGGGCTGTAACCAATGCTGTGGGGATGGGACAGGGCTACTGGCATCTTGTGGGTGGTGCTGGAGCTTGAACTTGCAGTCTTGTGCTTGCTGGACCAGTGCTTTAAGTCCTTGTGGTAACTTCTGGGCCCCTGTACATAACTTTGATGAGTGACAGAGAAGCTATGTGACAGTTTCCACTTACTGAAGAAAGTCCTGTGCTCTGTGCAGCCTGGCCCTGTGACCACACTTTGGCGTGCTGTGTAGCAGGCGAGGACCTAGAAAGCAGCAGGGAAGAGCCCCACGTGGCAGGCTCCTGCTTAGCCCTGGCATCTGACTGATAACCTCATTTGGACAGGAGTCAGTGGCTTTGCTTCCTCTTGGGGTTAAAGTAATGTGCTGGGATCAACCCACCCGAGAGGGACCTTCTGTCCTGGTCAAACCCAGTGGCCATTTCTCCCAAATACCCTTGTGCCCAGATTCCAGACCCTTTGAAGAAAAGACAAGTTTGTTTTCTTTATGAGCACATAGCACATAACCTGGAACAGAAGAGGCACTACAAGAAAGTCCTGCCATGGACAGGGAACTCCCTGAGAGAGGGTCCAATGTGCCTCCTGCTGTCAGACTCCAAGCTGGACTCACTGTGAAGACAAAGCAGCCCAAGTCCTCACCGCCCTGAAACTTTGCAACCCTCTGGGCTGTGAGGGTTATAAGGTTGGGTCCTTTTGTGAACCCATCTCACCTGTCTTTGTATTGTTTTCTCCTGATGAAGGATGCCCAAACCATCTGTCTCCATTTATTGGAACATGACAGAGAGGCTGCTCTGCAGGTGTCTCTTTTTTTTGGGGGGGGGGGGTTGGGGAAGGCATACACAATGGCACTAGAACCCCTGAATGCAAAGCATGGTCTTAGTTCCTTTCCACTATCTCTCTGACCTTCCTAATATTTATTTTTATATTTTTTTAGTGAAGCAAGATAGTATTTATTGAATTAAACCTGCTTATAAAGATGAGGCTGGTGTGGGTGGGAGGGCATCTGGGAAAATTGGTCAGGGAAAGTTAACACCGATGGTGGGATTGGTGTACAGGCATTGTGTTCCTGAAACTCATCTATGAATAATTTTGTATATCATGATGCCTTAATAAAAAATGTTAAAGGTGTCTAATCATCTTGGTTGCAGGAAGAACATGTTCAGAGGAGCTGTATTTTCAGATGCACAAGTACATCCAAAGACTAACCATTCCATCCAAATGCAACGGTTTGCTGAGAATCAGCCATGCACTCAGTCCAAAGTTTCCAATAGCCATAATTCCAAACGGCAAATTCCCTGGGCTGAAGAATCAGCGCTTCCAAGCAGGAATACTCTTACCCATTTGCAGTGAATTTTTGTTTTGTGTTGTTTTGTTTTGGGGTCACACATGATAGTGCTTAGGGCTTACTCCTGTCTCTGTGCTCAGGGATCACTCCTGGTGGGGCTCTGGGAACCGTATGAGGTGCCAGGGATCAAATCCAGATCAGCCGCATGCAAGGCCTTACCCATTGTACTTTCGCTCTGGCTTCAACAGCAATTTTAAGATGTGGGGGAAAATGATTTCTGTGGTTTCCCTCACGGCATTCAGTTACGTTAAAGGAGGGACTATAAAGGGACATGGGAAGAAAATCCTAGTCATGTGACACAAGAAGTGCTGTTACTGTCACATGATCTGTAATAAAACCATTTTTGTTACAACCCTTCAATGGAAGTTCAAAGCTTAAAAACAAAACAAACAAATTCAAACAGTAGAGTACAAGACTGCATAAAATAAAAATAAAATACCCACACTCCCACAGTCTGGCTTTAGTGGTGATGAAGCTTGCCATTTGGTAAAACTTCAAACTGTTTCTTCCCTGAGTACAGAGGCAGAAGCCAGCCATGAGCACTCCTGAATTCCGGATGTGGCCCCTGAACAAAACAAAACAAAAAAAAGAGACACCTCAAGGACATCCCCCCCCCACCTTTACTAACTTGTGGCATCCACAAACTTCCCTGTGTGAACGAGAGGATGCATGGCTGTGTGTTGAGAGATGAAGAACTGGCATTCACATCGTGTCTCCCAGGCTGTGTCACTGCAGTGTGAGGCCCACTGGTGATTCCCGTCCCTTCTGAGCCCCCCGGCAAACACCCAACAAGGAAACATCTGCCAATGTCCCAAGACAACTTTCGTTGTCTTCAGCATTTTTTTTCCCTCCAGGAAGAACTGCAGGCACCGAGTGAGCAGTTTGGGGATGCTGTTTAACAATCCAGAACAATCCATGCACAGGGCACTCCCTAGCCATGGGGCCCATGTGTCAGCAGTGTCCAAGCTGAGAAACAGTATTTATGACCTCTCCAGTCGGCTTTTATATTGCCAGGAGAAATCAAATATCAACAGTGTCTCTCAACATCCATCACAAGAAAGAGGGAGAAATTAGCGCTTCATCCTTCCTTCCACTCTCCATTCCAATAAATTTCATTGTTACGCTATATTTTACTGATTTAAAAAAATCTATTCTAAAATTAGAACTTTATTACTGTGTCTATCATAGTTTATTCTGAAAGAGAAACAAGTAGTACTTTAGAAAAAAAATTCTTCTACTTGGGAATGTGGCTTAGTGGTAGAGAGCTTGCGTCTGGCTTTGCATGTGTGAGGCACTGTTTTTAATTCCTGGACCCACATGCCTCCCCAAGCAACAAGACAGGAGTAATTTCTGAGCCCAGCTCAGTATAGTCCCAAGAAATAAAATAGTGAAATCTTCTACTTTTCCACACAAAACCCAAATTTCAATTTGAAGTTTTTCTTTCTAAAAATAACATTAGTCAAGCTTTAAAATGCAAATGAAAAATAAAAACGAAACCCAAAAATGAATGCTAAACACATTGACATACATGAAAAATGAAGCAAAGCTTTAAAAACAAGGTTTGGAGGAAAAAAGAGGTCAAAAAGTATAAAGTTTCATAATATAAAGGCAATTAAAATTAAGGTATTAATCACAAACTTTCAAAGACAACTAGTAATTAGAATGGGATGCAAACACTGGAAAATATATGTATTAATAGAAATTGAAGTATGTTTTTTTAAAAAAGTGAAGCATTACTGCATATATCTAATTTAGTAATTTATACTTAATTGTTAAAAATGAATACATGTGAAAGTTATCATTTGCTTAAAGGTGTGCTTACAAAAATTCATCTTGTTCTTATCAGGTGAATTTCTCTTTTCTTCTATTTTTGAATTATCAAACATTTAAGTTTTATAACTATAGTGTCAGAGTAATAGTACAGTTCATAGGGCATTTGCCTTGCAAGCAGCTGGCCCAGGTTTAATTCCCAGTACTACATATAGACCCCCAGCCCTGCCAGGGGTGATTCCTGAGTGCAGAGCCAGAATTAAACCCTGAGCACTGTTATCTATAGCCCCCAAAGCAAAAATATATAAATAAAATTTATAATGATACAAATAAATAAATATATAAATAAAATTTAGAATGATACAATTTTATAATCTAACAGTTATTATAAATTCTAGAAATTAATTGGTGTATCAAACATAAAATGGTAAATTGAACTAAGTAGCTACTGATTCTTACCTATAAGGCTTTCACATTTCAGCCATCAAGTATTGTTCACATGTTTATCAAATATCTATCAAATTATTTTCACAGTGTTTATCAAAATGAACATTGTTGGTAGGTGGCTAATGACCAAACCATATGAGAAGTTTAAAACTTAAACAGCTGTAGTCTTATTCACAGCCTTCTCTTTAGACAAGACTAAAGACTACTTATTTCCCTAAAAAAATAAAATGTAACTGATAAACACATCACATTAAATAGAATTTTTTGTTTAGTCTCTGCATTTCCACTTTCTACTGATGAGCCATTGACCTTCAGAATCGAACTGAAACAGAACTCAAATGTGTAGTAATGATCGTTCCTATTGAAAGGACCATATGCAATGCTGGCTACTGAACTAGGGTTGGCTGCGTGCAAGGCAGGCACCTCATCCTTCTGTTCTCTCTACCAAGGGCCAGGGAAGCTATGTGGTTCTCTCTGGTGCACAAGAGATGTGACAGGGGTACCCAGCAAGGCATATGAATGGTTCCCCCCAAGTACCACTAGGGGTCACTCCTGAGCACAGAGCAGGCGTCAACCCTGAGCACCACCAGGCATGGATCCTCAAACAGATAAAAACAAAATGACTTAGTTCTCCTTTAAAATATCCCTGGTTTGGAAAACTCATCAGAATTATAGGGTGTTGATGGTAGGTAGGAGAGGGTCTGGAGGGACATTGGGGAGGGATATCAGCAGTCCTGGGGGGTAAGGATGGTACAATAACACTGGATGCCTACACCACTGGAAATCAAAAGACCCAATACTGTAAGTGGCCACAAATTCCTGCTTCAGACCATTATCCTTCATTCCAATGAACATCTTCCCCACACAAACCGTGCTTGACTAATTGAACTAAAGAATTAAACAGTGACAGCTTTTGTGAAGGTACAAGAGGGTAGTGACAAAATCAAGTGGCAAGTGAGAAAGAAGTCCAGTGTCTGCTCTCTGACCTCTCACCTTTGCCCCCAACTACTTCCTGGACCCAGACTGGTGAATGGAGAACAGGATATAAGTAAACCTACTTCACAGACCTATTGTGAGTCTTAAAGAAAAGCACGCCGCAGTTAGGAGAGCCTGTGTGGTGTAAGTCGGCACTCAACAAGTGAAAATTTTAACTGCTATTAATATACATACTGTTTCAGCTCCTGCGTCACTTTTCACTTCTTTCAGCAAATACATTTGGTCACTTGATTATAGTGATCAGGGTGTGTGACATTTGGCTGACTGCTACACAAACTGCCTGATTCTAAAGGAGAGCACTGCGCTAAGAAACTTAGCGCCAACGTAGAAAAGGTGCTGCACCTTTGAGAGAGTGACAAGAAAACCAAGACCAGCACGGTAGGCACCTCGGTCAGCTCCACCTCTCTGTAGGGGGTGAGACAGACAGAAGACTGGCTGCTTCACGCCTTTCCTGTTTGAAAATGACCCAGAATGAAAGGTGCATGTTATGTTTCAGAACACCCGGGCCCAGGAAGAAAGCCTAGGAGTAGTGGTGCATGCTCTGACGCCAGTTCAATCCTTGGCATTACAACATGCCCCCTCCTCCCCCAACAACCTATTCCTACCCCAGCACTGCCTTTGTGGCCCTGGTGTTCCCACACATGGCAGGGCCCAAGAGGCACAGCATCCCTGGGCCCCAACACTCAACAACAGAGCCTGGTAGGAAGAGAATCAGCAGAAGTGGCCCCTGCCTGCCCCTGCCCCCACCTTGTTTGGTAGGCAAAAAAAAAAAAATTATAGTATAGTCTCCAAGTGGTAAACCAACCCCGAGGTAGAGAGCAGGGGAGGGTGGAGAGGGATGGGACTATCTAAATGTTAGCAGGAACCATTTCTCCAGGAAACCACAAAAAAGCCAGCGTCAGCCTGCAGCCAGGCCCAAACAACTGGAGTCCACAGATCCCAAGCTAGGGGGGCCAAGTAATTTCACAATATTCATTCAGCAAAAGTCAGAATACAAACTGTTTATCTGCGACTGTGGACTACAAGAAAGATGCCTGAACCCAAAGCACACAGGGAGCAATGGAGAGAGGGCAGAGAGGTGGGGTTGGTTGGCTTTGAAAACGGTCTTAGAACGAACACACACAGTCCTACACAATGTCCAGAGAGAACAGCTCTGTCTCCTACGAGCCACCAGGCCTGGTCAGACTGTTTAGGGCCCTGGCTCACTCACCCGTTTGATGAAAGGAGGCAGCAGCAGGGGAGAGCAAGGCTTGGGAACGAGGTGGACAGGGATGGATGTGACTTAGATTGTCTTTCCTTTGGGCCACATTTCGGACAAGAAAAGTAAGGACTCCGCAGGATCTATCAGTCCACTCCCTCCTGTCTCCCACTCACCTGCTGCCCGAAGCCATGCAAGCCCGCCCTGGGACAGAAGCCTCTGGCCGATCCTGCCTACAGAGGCCAGGTCACTTATTGTCAGTAACGTCTCAAAGGGCATAAACAAGAGCACTTCCGCTACTGATTTTCCGTTGAAAACAAAAACAAGCAGCACGAACAACTACAAGCCCACAAATGCATTTCCTTCTGCCTCAAGCCTTCAGCCTTCTTGAGAACACCTATACTTTAAGCTTTATAGTGCAGTATGCTCGGCAGACTGTTATTTGTGTCCTGAATAACTTCTCAGCAGATTCACTGTCTGGAATGATTTTTCTGATGTTTGTCTAAGGCTGTGACAGCAATGATCTGAAAAGGCTCATATCATTCTAGAATGATGGTGGAGGTGGAATTCTTTGAAATGAGGGAAAGAGGGGAGAAAAGGTAAGTTTCTCCACTGACACTTCTAACATTCCGAAGTGACCTTGGGTTTTGTGTCGCAGAGGCCCTGTGTGGAATTAAGGTCCTCATGAAGTGCCGAGAATACAAACGCTAAGTACTAACTTTGCGGGTGAGCGGATGACAGGAATCTCCCAGTTTGCCCATCGGTGTACAAATCCTTATGCTCTTTACCCAGATGCTAACAGCACAGCACATGCCTCCGCCACACTGGGGGTCCTCTTGGCAGGCCTGAAATGCAATAGACAAACAGATAAGTATAGACACAGAAAGACCTAGACTAGGGAAATCTAAAATTAACAGTTAAAAAATAAGACTAAGTATTCAAATGCTGAAATTTTAATCATCATATATCTAAAGCTTATATATGTTTGCATACACACATTTCTTTGCATATACACATACACACATTCATACACATAGACACACACACAATAAAAATCTCATTAGATCTTCCCAGTATTTAGAAAGTGACCTAAATAATAATGCACACATTAGGAAAATTTAAAACACAAGATTTTGGAAAAAACAAAGCTCTCCCTTGATGGTGAACTTGCTGTGAACATGAGAAATACGTCTATGTTAGTCTTACACCACGGGCATTGGAAATTACACAAAATGAATCACAAGACTTGGGGACTTTTAACTGCAGAATACATTAAGCATAATTTAATGTATTATTAAATTAGATCTAAAAAGAGATGTCTACAAGGTCTCTAAATCTGGCATAAAATGGTCCAGACCCAGAAAGGTACTTCTCTAGGCTTCAGTTGTGCTCATTTTTTCTTTTTAATATTTTCCTTTTGATTCAGGAGACTTGATGGTTCTCACACCACTGTCTGATTTTCCATCTTTTCTTAAGAAAGAAAACTGGTAGGTTGAAAATCGACAAATCGAGACTTGCATTTTATTTCACTTTTTTTAAAAAAAAATGGGGCCACAGTCAGTGGTTCTCAGGGTTTGGGCCTGGCTCTGAGGTATGGAATCACTCCTGGTGATGTTTGGGGGGGATCATACGTACCACAGATCAAAGCCAGCTCCCTCATGCAAGGCAAGCTCTTGACTCACTGTACTCTCACTCTAGCCCCACAAAGAAAATTATGGGCTTAGGAAATTTATCTAGGCAATATAAAGGTTGAAATAATCAAGTCCATCAGATTATAAAACATAAGTGACACATGTAATTATCAACAGTGATAATCACTCAAGCCATCTGCTCCCAATAGAATAACTATAAATACATATATTCAAAGAATCAACTATGGAGGAATTTCCATACCCAATTAAATCGTCATAAATAACAAGGTTTACACTTATTTACATAAAAATGAGTTTGGAGAAGTATTATTCTTATTAAAAAAATTGGGATGCTTTGTTTTGAAAGATGTATGTGGTAAGGTGGCATGCTTACCATCTTTTGAAGAAGCTGGAAAATATATAATCCAGCACAAATTTCAATTTCTATTTATTGGAACCAACTGAAAACACTTCTTGTAAGTTTTTAGTTTGGAGGACAACAATAGCTTCTCAAAACAGTATTCTGGGCACTCTCATTGTTTTTCATTAAAGGTGACCAATTAAGTATCTTGCTTGAGTTGATCTTTACTGAAAAATTCTTCAGCTTGCTCTTCAAGCCCAGGCTTTTCCTCCAGCAAGCAGTTTGCTTATCTCAGTCTGTTTGTTTGCTTTTCTTGACTTTGGAGAAGCCCATGTTCCCTCTCAGAAAACATCAGACTCTCTCTATGCCCTGGCATCTTTCTAAATAAGTTTGATTCAATACAGATTCTCTTGTTTCATTAAAGAAATTTTTTTTAGGGTTTTTAAAACCAGTATCTGAACAAGAGCCACAATTTTCACCTTGAAGTTGTTTGAATATTTATAGAAGATATTTAAAAATTTCCATTTTCTAATGTTTATCTCTTTGCCAAAAAAATCATAATTATGTGGCCACTGCTTTTCATAAATGAGATACCACAATAATTTTCAAAAATGAATCTACGTAAACATATAAATCAATTAAAAAATAACTATGTATGTTAACCCTCCAAAGAAAGTAAACATATAAATCAATTTAAAAATAACCATGTATGTTAACCCTCCAAGGAAAATGTTTAAAGTGGGGGGGGGGTGTTCAGGAAGTCTTTTGTTTCAACAGATATTCAAGGTTCTGAATCCTGAAGTTTCACTAGCTCTTTTTATAACAATTCAAGTCTAACCAGTACCTTTTAAAATTCAATCAATGACTTAGATGTTTAACATGCTATGGACAGAAGATCTAAGAATGCTACAAAGTTTTTTTATTTGACTCCAGATGGTTCCTGTCATAGAGACATAACTCAACTTCTTTATTGCCATGTTACTCTAGAGAATTTTTTAAGAAGTTTTCTTTGTGACACCAAGTTATAATGACAACAAAAACTGCACAAATGACTACATAAGCCCAGTCAAAACCTCTCTAGCAGAATAACATCCAATGTGACAAAATTTCATTTTGTAACAAAAAGCTTCAGTTCTTGGAAATATTTACAATGAACTGCAAACCTTTATATATCTTTAATTAGAGAGCTGTTTCCTAATACCCTTCATTCTCAACCCATTGAAAATCTATTCAAATAGTGTTATCCTGTGAATAGAACAAAAAGATACTTATATTCAAAGGAATTTTAGACTCAGGGGATTAGGAGAAATTTTAAATGAGCCAGCAGGGGAACTGGAGAAAAAGCCAATCATGTTCCAATTCTCTTGTAGTAGAAGGAGCTGTAAAAACTTTATTTATTTTTTCCTTCCCCAACTACTCAGACTGGCTACTGACAAAGCTTATTCAAATACATTTAAAAAAAAAAACCCTCTAAACGATTGCAACAAATACCACAATGTTTATAATTAATATCTGTTGAGTGTAAGTAAATGCTGCTATAGTACAAGGGATTTCAAGCATGTTATAACTCAATTAACTAACATGGAGACAATAGAGCCTTATTTTCTCAAGACAATGACATTTATGGATGACCATTTCCAACACGGAAGTTGCATTTAAATCCCATAATGTGCATTTCGATATTTCAATGTAACTACGGCGTAAAAATAATTTCACGCTTTAAAAAAAAAAAGAGGTGAAGCAATTAAAACCACCAGGAAATGCTGGCGGTTTTGTACTGCTAATGTAAAACTAGACTACACTTGAAAACATTTTTACACTGTAAGCTCATCCTTCAGATCCACAGAAGGGGAATTGTTGGGCGTTTCAGAGAACGGATCGAGCCTCTAACTTCCAGAAAGGATGAACAGGTCGCCTTGCAAGAGGCTGCCGTAGCACTGGAAGCGCATGACCAATAAATAGAAATTAGAAAACTTTTCCTGGGAGAGCCCAAGACGCCGCGGAAAGGCCCCGGAGCCCAGAAGGACGCTCCAACAATTGGCTTTCCAAAGCACAAGCCCTGGCCTGGGACCAAGCTATTTCAAAGTGTTTCTGCCGAGGGAGAACCCGGGAGCGGGAGCCCCTGGGTGCAGGATTAAGGCTCTGGGGGGCGGGAGGGGGTGGGGGGAGACTAGAGGGTATTCGCCGGACCCCCGCCCCCGAACCCCCTTCCCCGTCGCCTTCCCGGAAGGGGGGGCCTCGAGTTTCAAAGGTTCCAGGGTGGGGTGGGCCGCAGGGATGCGCCTCTGAAAATTCCGCTGACCCCAGCCACCCGTCCAGTCCCGCAGCGCGGCCGGCGGGACAAAGTGGGGATCCAGGTGCGGGCGGGCCACTTGACTCAGCTGCCCGGCCTGCGGCCACTCTGGGCACTTTCTCGGGCGCCGCCGGGCGACCGAGGCACGTGCGGCACCGGGCGTCCCCGCCCCGGGCCGCGGCTCCCCTCCCCGGCGGCCAGGCTCGGCGGGCGCAGCGGGGCAGGTGCGCGGGCCGCTTACCCCGGTGATGACGGCGGCGTCCCCGGCGGGGGGCGTGAGCAGCAGCAGCAGCAGCAGCAGCAGCGGCGGCGGCAGCGGCGGGCGCGGCATGGCGCCCTCGGGACTGCGCGGCGGTTGCGGGGCCGTTGCGGGGCGCGGGGCCCGGGCGCGCGGGCAGCGGCAGCGGGCGGGCGGGCGGCGGGCGGCGGGCGGCTCCCGCGCGCCGGCGGCCGTTATAAGGCGAGCCGGGCCGTGACTCACGCGGGCGCCCGCCCGGCGGCACGCGCGGGGGGCGAGGCGCGGGCACACACCCCACGCCCCCACGCGCACACGCGCCCCGCCGCGGCCCGGCCGCTTCCGAGCGGCGCACGTGCCAGCGCCGCGCTCCGGCCCCCGCGGCCCGCGCCCCGTGGCGTCTCGGCCAGACCCAGGCTCCCGGGCCGTCCCGGTTCCCGACGCTCCACGTGCGCGGCGCCCGAAAACTTGCCGCTCGTTTGCATCTCAGATGCGCGAGAGCCTACGACGTGCCAGGCACCGGGGGGCTCCCGGGGGGGCGGGCGCGGGGCCCCCCGGATCTGTGCGTTTGTGCAGCCCGTCTCTGCCGAGCGCCCGCTGCGCGCCAGCCAGGTGCTGCCACCCGCTCCGTCCTCGTGGTCCAATAACCGAACGGAAAGGACGGGCATCAAACAAACAGCCGAGACGGGGAAGAACGGGGGGTGGGGTGGGGAGAACAAAGGGAGAACGAAAATCACCCCTCATCCCAGTCCCTGACGACATGGAGGGGCTGGTCCTTCCAGCGGTGGGAGTCCAATTTATTTCTTTCCTTTCCAGTGCTCCCCCTTTATGCTCACATCTGTTCCCGACCGTCTCCGCTCTGGCTTTCCTCGCATGCATTTCCTCCCTCCCTGAGCACCGCGCCAGCTTCGGGCAGAGCAGTTCGGGCTGATGCCAAAGGGAAATGAGAGGCTGGCGGCAGTGCCAGCTCCAGGCCCCACAAGCCCTAGGTACGTGGCTTCTGCACTTCCCGGCCCAGGAAAGCTCCTGCTTCGGTCTTCGTTTGCTCTGAGGAGTTTCTGCGGCCCCGCTCCTTTTGGGGACCGAGCACCGAGCGCCTGCTGGTTCCAGGTCACCCACGAGGGGACGCGCGAGAAACTTGCCCTCTAGCCCAACTTGCAAGATCTCAGCCTGATTTCCCCCTCCCCGCCCCCCGCTCAGGGAGAGCGGCATCAAATCTACCTAACCAGGACGACGTCGAGGTTGCTTGCACCAAAGTTGGAGGTTGCCCAACCCCAGTTTTCTTTTCGTCAGCCCTTCGGGTTTCCTTGGACCACAGACTGTTGAAAAGCAGATGCGTCTTTCTTTCAGCCGCCTTAATCCATGCAGTCAGAGGAGTCGAGCAAAGTTACTTTCAGACCATGGGGCTCCCCATGCCAAAGCATTCAGACGAAAATGGGGGGGGGGGGAGTAGACAATTATGTGAATGTTAAACAGCTGAATATTTAAAGACAAATCTTTGGGTTTTAACTCCCGCCTCCCCCCCCCCCCGCCCCTCCTTTTTTACTCCGGTTGACGTATTTGAGAAGCGTCCTGAAGCGAAGACACCAGCGAAGAATCAAACTTTTTTTAACTTTTAAAAAATCGTTAAATCGGACTCAGTGAAATAAGTGGAAACAGTAGCAAGTGACAGATTGGTGGAAACTTTTCTTTTCCAGTCCCAGTGCCAAGGCTAGCATGAGAATGCAGCCAGATAAATGTGAAAACCAGTCAACACGGGCTTGGACATTCCTATGGCTTTTTAAAAAAATGGTTTATTTCATACTTGCTGCTATTGAAAGCCAGATTGGGTATTCCCTGCCTCTCTGAGCACACACAACAGGCTCTGACTACCTAAGTAAGCCGGTTTCTAAAGGAGAGGGCTTTGGACGCAGCTGTTTGGAAAACAATCCTCATGAGGCTGTTTTGAAACAAGGTTGGAAACACTTAAAAATGGGGTTGGTTTGGTTTCATGTTGTTTCTTTTGATCATGTTGGTTCTTTTAATTGTTTTAGTACTTCAGAAGTCTCCTGATGTCAGGACTCTTTGCATCTATGGCCAAGTTCAGAAGAATGAAATCTGAAAGTTAGTTCCATCTTAGAGAATCTGAGAGCTTGAATTTGGATTCATTTATGAAAGTAGAGACGAGTAGAGAGAGCAACTGACTAATATGGAAGTGAAAAGTGAAGAGTGGCTGATCTGTCCTGTTTATTATTGTAACTGGTTGATAGAGCTAGGCTGTCTGTCCAGCCCAGGGCCAAGTGTAGGAAGAGACACAAATGTTGACCTCTTCTGTGGAAGAGACAGGTACAGTCAAGTTCATTGGACCACATATTTGTAAATTGAGTTGACTTTTACTGGCTTTTTCTTCTTTTTGTTTGTTTTGTGTTTGGGGCCACACCCAACAGTGCTCAGAGGTTACTTCTGGCTTTGCAATCAGGAATCACTACTGCTGGGTTCGAGAACCATATGAGATACAAGTAACCAAACCTGGGTCAGTCATGCGCAAGGCAAGCACCTTACCCACTGTATTATCTCCCCAGCCCCTGACCTCTTGAGTGATCACTGGGCAGTTTACATAACCCTCCTAAACTTCTGTTTCCTCAACTGAAAATTGGGTATAAAAAACTGTCTTCATGTCTAATGGTAGATCTCAGCCTGATTTCCCCTTCCCCTCCCCCCGCTCAGGGAAAGCGGTATCAAATCTACCTGGGCAGAACTATGTCGAAGTTGCTTAGACTTAATGACTATGATACCTATACAGTGCTTAGCTTTTGTGAAACCTATGCAGTGCCTGGACTAGATTTGGGCTCTGTTAGAATGATCCCTTACTAAGTCCTTCTAAATGATGTTTTATGGCAATGTTAGTTGACACTGAGAGGCTTGTATTTATTTACTTTTTATCTTGCTTTAGAATTAGATGATGTATTCACAGGATTAAAATTCTAGTCTTAATTTCCCACATTTTCTTCCTGGTATAATGATTGGCATAGGACAGACAGTAAATAAATGAGGATTCCTAGGAACACATCATACAAAGTACCTATGATACCACTGTCACTGTCACTGTCCTCCCATTGTTCATCGATTTGCTCGAGCGGGCCCAGTAACATTGTGAGACTTGTTACTGTGTTTGGCATATCGAATACATCATGGGTAGCTTGCCAGGATTTGCCGTGTGGGCGGGATACTCTCTGTAGCTTGCCGGGCTCTCCGAGAGGGGCAGAGTTGGCCCCTCAGGTTGGCCGTGTTGGCTGCGTGCAAGGCAAACGCCCTATCCACTGTGCTATCGCTGCAACCCAGCTACAATACAGACACATTTAATTTGCACTACTCAATTAAATGTTGTCAGCCTGAATCAAGTGGGATAGACGCTCAATGTGGTAAAGATGATTTAACCTGCCACTTGACTCATTCAGTGGGCATATGACTGAAATGAAGTGACCTGGAAGACACAAGCTTGTCTCCTTGTCTCACTGGAGTCACTCCATGACCTAGACCGATGAAGGTTCCATTTGAAAGTGTGCTTTGTATTGCGAGTCAAGGGTGGTAGTTTCAATTATGTGTCCCTATAAAGTTATTTTCAGCATCTAACCCTCAGTTCCTGTGAAGGTGACTCTGTTGGGATATATGGTCTTTGCTGATGTAATCAATTAAATTCATGCTGTAGTTGGGTGAGGTGATGTCTTTATAAAAGAAAGGAGAGGAAGGGTTAAACACAGAGATACAGCACATGGGGATAATGCCTTGGACACATGGAAGCAGAGATGGGAATGATGCATTTCCAAGCCATGGAATAGAACCACCAAAAGCTGCGAGAGGTCAGGAAAGATTCTTTCCTAGAGTCTCCAGAGGGAGCATGGTCTTTTTAACACTTGACTCAGAGCCTCCAGTTTCATAAAAGAACAACCTTCTGTTGATTTGAACCACTCCATAGTAGGGATTGCATATGATGAAACTAGTACGGGTAGGTAGAGCTAGAAGGTTACCAGCTTTTAATGCCCCTGCCAGGAATCTGCACAAATCAGTTCTGCATATGAGTTAGTGTTCCATACCATAATGCATTATTTCATCTCTTCAAGGGGATGAGCAGCTGCAAGTCCACCATATACCCTGCTTCAGGGGAACTGGTAATCTGGAGAATAGCACCATCCTTTATAGGCAAGGGATCATCAAGACAGAGACTCCTTAATGAGCACAGTGAACTTTGAATGACTTGCATAATTATTACAAATGATAATGTTGATTATTTCCTTTGTGTTTTTTTCAAGCTCAGTGTTCCTTATACTAGAATTGTGCAATGGCTCTGAAGGCAAGTAAATGTATAAGCTGATATTTTCCTTCGGTGGGCAGTAAGCCATACCTAATTCGTCAGTTCATTCAGCAAATATGACTAAGTATTGACTCTATGACCAGATGCTGTAGGAGCCACTGGGGCTCCAATGGTGAACAAACCAGATGTGAAACCAGATGTGCAGCCTTCTTGCTTGGAGTTTATAGTCTAGTTGGAAGAAGGGCATGAAGCAAACAATTATACTACATATATGTGTATTTATATAGACTTACTAAAACCAAACATAAGGTGCTAGAAAAGCATGTGCGGAGACCTCCAGGCTTGCATAAAGAAGTGGACAGCTGAGACTTGAATCTCAGGCAGGTTTGAAGTATTATGATACTTGAGGGCCATGGGAGCAAGGCTGGCTTTGCTCCAGGTAAAAGCATGGGCTTGCTCTGGGAAATAAAAAGATATGTTTCAGTGGGCGTTCGCCTTACAAGCGGCCAACATGGCCAACCCGAGTTTGATTCCTCCGCCCCTCTCGGAGAGCCCGGCAAGCTACCGAGAGTATTCGATATGCCAAACACAGTAACAACAAAGTCTCCAATGGAGACGTTACTGGGCCCGCTTGAGCAAATCGACGATCAACGGGAGGGCCTTTACCTTACCTTCAGTGGAATAAAGGAACCTATGTGGTTCTAAATATGACCTTAAAGGAACTGCAATTAGGGTGTGGTGGTGAGAAGCTCAAATGTGCTCAAGAGTCCTGGGGCCACTCATGGAAATTATCAGTCCAGCCATGGAGGCTTAAAGGG